ATTTTTTATTTTTCATTTTTTACATCTTTAGTGAAATTTTTACATCATACATAGAGTTGATGTATTGGTAATGTGGCAGATTTTATTAGTTTTTTTTATGAAAGTTAGTCTAGGAGAAAAGTGAGAAAAGTTGTAAATATAAATGGCCAAAGTGGAAAAGATTACAAATATGGATGGCTAAAGTGGAAAAGATTACAAACATGAAAGGCGAAAGTGTGAAGGATTGCAAATATGAAGGGTCAAAGTGAGAAATGAGTGAAACTTTAAAGAGGCAAAGTGTAATTTACCCTTTTTAAAAATGTAAAAGTGAAAAATAGGTGAACCTTTAAGGGGGAAAAGTGTAATGTATCCTTTTTAAAAATGTAGTATTTCTAAAAATTCATAAAATGTTACTTTTAAATTAATCTATAGTATATTAAGAGCATCAGCCTTGCTGTACTAGTTTTGGGACTATATTAGCCAAGTAAGGTCTAAAAACACTATTGCATCAGGCTAGTTACAGCAAAACAAATTTTGACATTGCTACATTTCATTATTTGATACAGCGATGTACTACTCATAATATGTCAAAATTGGGCTTTAGCGGCGGTTTTTTACCGCCGTTAAAGGCTGTAAAACCGTCGTTAAAACCTTTAACGGCGGTTTCGTTACCGCCGTTTATGCATGTGTCGGAAAAAGTACAACCGTCGTAAAAAGGTAAATTACCGTCGTTAAAAGTCGACCAAAAACGGCGGTTTTTTACCGCCGTAAATAGGTTCAGATTTTTTCAAAAAGTAATTCTTTCTTCTTGCACTCCCCAAGTTTTGAACCCAAGACCTCTCATCCACCCACACCGTTTTGAGTCAGTATATTTTCATTTTTTTCGTCTTTAGTAAACTTTTTTTTTTTATTGAAATTTGTTTTAATTTTTTTAGGTGCATCTAAGCTAGATGTATCTATAATGTAATCATGTTTATGAATAAATTTGAAAAAAAAAAAGTTTACTAAAGACTAAAAAAAAATTTATTTTTTTTGTTTTTTATTTTTCATTTTTTACATCTTTAGTGAATTTTTTACATCATGCATAGAGTTGATGTGTTGGTAATGTGGCAGATTTTATTAGTTTTTTTGATGAAAGTTAGTCTAGGAGAAAAGTGAGAAGAGTTGCAAATATGAATGGCCAAAGTGGAAAACATTACAAATATGGATGACCAAAGTGGAAAGGATTGCAAACATGAAGGGCGAAAGTGTGAAGGATTGCAAACATGAAGGGTCAAAGTGAGAAATGGGTGAAATTTTAGGGGGGCAAAGTGTAATTTACCTTTTTTAAAAATGTAAAAGTGAAAAATAGGTGAACTTTTAAGGGAGAAAAGTGTAATGTATCCTTTTTAAAAATGTAGTATTTCTAAAAATTCTTAAAATGTTGCTTTTAAATTAATCTATAGTATATTAAGAGCATCAGCCTTGCTGTACTAGTTTTGGGACTATATTAGCCAAGTAAGGTCTAAAAACACTATTGCATCAGGCTAGTTACAGCAAAACAAATTTTGACATTGTTATAGTGCATTATTTGATGTAGCGATGTACTGCTCACAAGTTATATATATATTTTTATTTATTCTAGAGAAAATATCTCTTTCATTTGGCAAAACTAAGCAATTTTTACCAAGTGGTCAACCACCCGGTCGACCACCCAATATCTCATTCATTTGGCAAAATTGGGCCATTTTTACCAAGTGCTTGACCACCTAATCATCCACCCAATATCCTTTTGATACTTTCTTGTCTGTTGATTTTTTTTAAAAAAAATTACTTAAATAGAAAGTAAAATGAATAAAATAAATATTTTATAAAATTAAACTTTAAAATAGAGAGCGTGATGAAGTGTGTACATTAAAAAAATACTAGATATAATATAAAAGTAAATTTTTAGTTATAATTTGACTCAAAATTTGTCGAGTCTGATGCGGATGCTCTGTGATAACAATTAAATTTTAGTTAATTGATTATTAAGAAAATAAATAATTGACCTGCAATGATTCACATTATTAGGAATTAATTTAAGAGTATATTTTTAGGAATTTTAAGAATTTTCGATCTAAAATGCTAGGAATATCAAATTTTGTACCAAATAAATGACTAAATATATCACATGGATGTGGGGTCCTCAATTTTGTAGACCCCATATCTATGTGAGATATTGAAATATTTATTTAATAGAAAATTTGAAACTTATAATATTTTCCTTAACGTAAATTCCACTATCGTACGTTTAGAAGTGAGAAATAGAATAAAAAATGGAGGTACTTTTAACATTACTCTAATTTTATTTTTATTTTTATTTCAAGATTTTTGAACGAAACAAATTGTAAATAAATAGACCTAAAGGGCTTATAGTGAAACTAGTTGTTTTCAATATAAAATTAAAAATTACAAGACCAAATTTAAATATTAAATATTGGATAGCCTATCACTAATTACTCTTCATTTTTACTACAAATAATCTTTATTTTACTTAATTAATTTTTTATTCATGTGCTCTTATATTATATTTTATTTTATCTATTTTTCTACATCAATTATTTTAAAAAGTCTTTCAAGACTTTTCAAATATAATTAATCTGAAAAAAAAATTATTAAAATAATTATTGTAATACCAATCTATTAAAAATAATAAAATAAGATGCGATTAATTATAATAGTCAATATACTTCTTTTAAAAGTCGATTGAAAATTTTATATATTGTCTTGAAACAAAGATAAGGAAAATATTTGGAATCTTTTTTGGAGATGATCTTCACATCTCTAAAATGATCTAAAATGATCCTGACCTTATGTATGTGTGAAATTTATTTATATATATATGTAAAATTTACATCATAAATAATTCAAATTTATGAGAGTCTTGCGGGGATCTTATGAGGTGAACTCTCAATTGCTTATGCTGTAATTAACATAACGACAATGTTACGTAACTCAAATTTTGTAGCTCAAAAGTGGCTCAAATGGTCAAAACGATATCGTTTTGGCCATTTAAATCACTTTTAAATTACAAAATTTGAGTTACGAGACATTTTCCTTAACATAAAAAGGGAACTTTATTGGATGGTTATGGTGGGCCACACAATCTCTTACATATGGCAATAATCCACCAAAGCACTAACGTCACCAAACCATCTCAGGACAGGACATGATAGAGAGGGGAAAAATAATAATAATCTGTGTATTTCATTTTAATTTTTTGAATTTAATTTTTTAGAAATTAAATTTTTTATTTTTTTATTTTAGTGAATATTTTTAAAATTTTAAATAAATTTTTTTTTTTACTTTTTTTATGCACTTTATTTAGATATATTTAAAAAATAAAATATTTATAAAAAAGTATTTTAAAAAATTAATAAATACACAAAAATATAAAAAAAATGTACAAAATTTTAGTATTTTTGGTATTTAGTGAATTAAAAAAATAAATTTACAAATATTATACTTTTTAAGTATATTTATATTAATTTTGTCTAAAAATCAAAAAAATTACTTAAAATATTAAAAAAATTAAGTGAAAACAAAAAAAATACAGAAATAAAAAAAGTAAAATTTTCAAAGTGAATTATGGAAATCAAAACCAAACAGTTAATTAATCAAAACCAAACAGTTAATTATTATTATTATTATTATTATTATTATTATTATTATTGTTTAGTCAGTCTTAGAGTTAGAAAGGAAAAAACGTAGTCGAATTTTGTGAAAAGTATCAAAAGTCAATCATAAGTTTCGAAAAATACAAAGGGCATACTTCATTTTACACTTTTTTGATTAATCATTGGGTGGTTTACCTTTTATTAATTTTGAAAATAAATATATAATTTCTTGTAATTTGTGAATTACATACACACATTCACTTCAAGTTAACAATAAATGTGAAATATATTATTAGCAAAAATTTAGTTTGAGCCAAATCGACAAAGTAAATTCGACAAACAAGACTAATTTTTACAAACAAAGACCAAATCAAGTAAATATAGTTGGTGTCCTATGCCTTGACAACTTCAAAAACTTTTTGAAAGTTGTAATGTGAAGAAACAAAACAAAAAAAAAACACACTGAAAGTTTGATTAATAACACTTAAACTTGTTACTTAATTACAATAATCAAATTACAAGTGTCAGGCATTACAATCGACAAAATTCAATAACACTGGTTGCAAAGACTAACTGCTAGTCTCCTCCTAGTTACAAGAACTACTCCTATGATACATTAAACTGTCTAAAGATTTCACAAGTGTTGTGAATTAGGTTGAAGGTCATTTCTTTTTCAAATTTCTAACTTTTATACTACTGCATTGGTCAAGAGATATGATCACGTGTCCATTTGATAGCATCTCCCACTTGTTCATGATTTATAACTGCTGTAACTGCTTTCAATTCCTTTTCTCCTTGAAACAGCCACATATCACTCCTTTGAGCTCTCTCTCTCTCGAGGTCACCATCTTCATGCTCATATTTATTGGACCCTTATTGCTCATGTTCTTGATTTTTGACACGTCGATAGAAAATTTTGAATTTTGGTGCCAACACACGCATTAGAACATAAGAGGTAAGCTACACTTGGTGTAAACTACAGAGGTGTAATGTAAATTTATGTCCATAATTTGCATAATGAAGTTACCTAAGCACAATAATATTTTAATCTTTTCCCTTAAGCCATTAATAAGTTTGATAGTGCACTTTAATTGACAAATAATACGAGATTATGTATTTATTTTTAAAGGGACACTACTAGAAATATGACTTTTTGCGTTTATTTTTTTGCGACGGATGGTTTAACTAGAATTCAACCCCAAATGGTAGAGATTTGAGCTTTCTTCTGGAGTTGAGTTGCATATTAGCTGCTGAAATCCTATATCACTCGTTTATAAACAAATGGAATTAAGAAAGCATAAGCTGTTCTGCTAGTTTTTGGTGACTACTAATCTACTTTTATGGATATCTATAAAATCATGCACCTTTCCACAGCATACCAAAGGCATTAAAGGTAAGGCATGAACCAATTATAGATGTTTTGCTGGTGATGGTCAAATATAGCTCCTTTGGTATTTTCCAAAGTATATGTTTAATTAATTTGTTTTCAGTTTTTACATAATTGTCAAAATGCTCTCCATGTGCTAATTCGATTTACTTCTGTTGCAGCTTACGAGCATCAATGGAAGGTTTTCTTGATGCTTTTAATCCCAAGGATTCTGTTACCCCTGCTGGAATTTTTTCTAATCGGGTTGAGGTTAGAGATATAATTAAATTTCATCAAGTTTCTCAATTTGATCAAATTTGATCAAGTTTTTTCAAACTCAGATGTCTCATAAAGTATAACTTTTAACAATGCGTTTTAATTTGCAAGTATCTCTTTTTAAGCTCATTTTGGATTTCTTCACTTTCTGATTCCCCCCCACCCTCCTCTTTTTTTTGTTATGTTGTGGTGGGCTGTGTTGAAGGAACTTCAGTTTGAGTGTGTTCCGACATCTCTTATGGAGCAAGTAACCGCCTTTTTGAATGTAAGTACTTAATTGAGTTCTGCTTTCTATGGTATGATTGGTGTCTCATGATTTAATCTGTGCAGGATGTTAGAGAAGACCTTAGATGTTCTATGGCTAAGGATGCAGAGACTATCAAGAACGAGAGCTTAAGCATCAATAAAGATCCAAAATGTGTGGAACTATCAATAAATGCAGACAAAGACAAATTGCAAGCACAGCTACCTAAGGATATACCATTGGGTTTTCAGAAAAAGGTTATTATAGCCAAACATGAGAAGCAAGAAGCCAACTCTGATATTTTCTTGGGAAAAAATTGAAACTTACAAGCGTCTTATGGGTATGTAAACAGTGGGAATTAACTGCTTATGCAAAAAGGGTTAACTGAATTCGTTCTTCAAGAAGCATAGTGTATGGTAGTTGAACCATGTTTTGAACATATATGTCTTCTATCAATGGTCTAATTGTTTAATTGTGACATTTTTTGTTTTTATTTTGTTCAAGCTTTAATATTTGAAGAAAATAGGAAGAATATCTAGAGGTTAGCTGTGGGTTTGATTTGTCTAATTTGTTTGATAAATAGCTGGATATGTAAAAGGGCTTTAATGTTTCACAATTTGTTTATTTATTTTTATTTTAATTTTTAATTTTTTGCGACGGTAACAAGATGGTCGCCAAAGATCATGTTAGTATTTTTCTTTGTTTTTTGCGACGGCAAAATAGGGGTCGCCATAAGTAGTTTAGGTGGTCGCAAATAATTTGCGACCGTTGCTTTGCCGTCGCAAAAAGTATTTGCCACCCCCATATTCGCGACCCCCATTTGCCGTCGCAAAAAGTCTTTTGCGACTGTTTTTTATTATTTGCGACGGTTTATGGCGGTCGCAAAAAGCATTTTTTTTAGTAGTGGGAGTAGCTTCCCTACAGTCCGATTGGGTGTTGTTGGGCCCGCGGGGGTCCACCACTGTCCTGTACAGAGGTGTAATGTAAATTTATGTCCATAATTTGCATAATGAAGTTACCTAAGCACAATAATATTTTAATCTTTTCCCTTAAGCCATTAATAAGTTTGATAGTGCACTTTAATTGACAAATAATACGAGATTATGTATTTATTTTTAAAGGGAGTAGCTTCCCTACAGTCCGATTGGGTGTTGTTGGGCCCGCGGGGGTCCACCACTGTCCCGTTTTGATAATCCGAACTGCTGAATGTGTAGAACTCGTCGAGTACTATATCTCTATAAAAAATTACGTTGATTGGACATCGATAGTTATGTGATCATATCAATTTTGTATAAAAAAATGGACAGTGAATAAATTAACAATTGACAGAAAACTAATGCGATGAGATAGCTATCGATATCCGATCAACTTGATTTTTTATAGACATATAATACTTGACGAGTTCTACAAATTGAACGGTTCAGATTATCAAAACGGAACTCATGGTGGGCGTCCACGGGCCCAACAGCACCTTCCAGTCCGATCTAGAACTGGAGGAAAGCTACTCCCACTTTTAAATTACAAGGGATTATACACATATCAGTCAAACCATAATAGAAAAAAGTAAAATTTGCCTAAATATAAATAACTACATTCTAAATGTCTGGTTTTTATTTTTATTTTTTTATTTTTTTTGGGGTCAAATATAGTAGTAATATGTTAATATAGTTAGATTATAATTGAAGGATTCCCTGTTACTCCATCAGCTCGATTCCTATTAGCTCAAACCCTTAACTTCTCACTTACCACAACCTAAGGTATAACTATTAGACTATTGGGTCACATCCCAATTAGGTCGTTTGATAGAGCTGTGGGAAAGTGATTATAACTTATACCTTAACAGCTTATAACTTATAACTGTGAATATAAGCTGATTTTTGACTTATAAATTGTCTTGAATGTCTCACTTATTCATGATGTATTTAGTTCTAATAAATTGTAGCACTCTTGGAATTGAGAGAGGAAGGCAATCTTATAATTTAAATACAGATGAATCGGCCAAACTTATTCGAATTCGAACTCGGCTTGTTTACTAAATGAGTCTAAAAATCTAATTTGAACTCCTTCATTTATTTAACGAACTAAACCAAACTCACAAACAATTCGATTGATTTACAACCCCACATACATATCATATATTTTTGAAAGGGTGAATTACAATAATAGTCTCTATAATTTGGAACTTGTGTCACTTTGGTCCCTGACATAAATTGTCTTGAATGTCTCACTTATTCATGATGTATTTAGTTCTAATAAATTGTAGCACTCTTGGAATTGAGAGAGGAAGGCAATCTTATAATTTAAATACAGATGAACTAGCCAAACTTATTCGAATTCGAACTCGGCTTGTTTACTAAATGAGTCTAAAAATCTAATTTGAACTCCTTCATTTATTTAACAAACTAAACCAAACTCACAAACAATTCGATTGATTTACAACCCCACATACATGTCATATATTTTTGAAAGGGTGAATTACAATAATAGTTTCTATAATTTGGGACTTGTGTCACTTTGGTCCCTGACTTTTCAATTGTGACACATTTGACCATGAATTTTGAATCTTATTCCAAATAAGGACAATTGAATATATCATTACATTTTTCAAGGGTAAAATCGTCAATTTTATAAAATATAAACTAATTTGATAAAAATAAATGTCAAACAAATATTTTTGAATTTTTAAAAATTATTTCTACCTACTAAAAATAACATTATGTAAAATTGATAAATCTTTTAAACATTTATTTATTTTTTACCAAATTAATTTTTATTATGTGTTTGGATGATGATCATGTAAAATTAATCATGCAATTTTTATTTATTTTTATCAATTTTACATAATTTTATCATTGGTGGATAAAAATAATTTTTAAAAAATTAAAAATATTTTGTTGATATTTATTTTTGTTAAATTAGTTTATATTTTATTAAATTAACGATTTTGCCCTTGAAATTAAACAACAGTATCTTCGATTGTCTTTATTTGGAACAAGATTCAAAATTTAGGGTCAAATGTGTCACAATTGAAAAGTCAGGGACCAAAGTGACACGAGTCTTAAACTATAGGGACTGTTAGTGTAATTTGCCCTTTTTGAAAATATAGTATATGATCATATTTTATATTCTATTTCCAAACAACAAATATAAAAAGGTAGAGTCACATATTTTTTTATTTTTATTTTATATATAAGCCATTTTATTGATTTAAAATAAGCTCACAAGTAAATTAATACTTAAAAGTTAACTTGTTTGATATATTTTTATTTTTTCAATTTTTTAAATAAATTTTTAAGTTACTTAAGTTAACTTTTTGATAAAAACAAATAACGACTTATTTACTTATTTGTTACAAGTTATCACGTTATCTTTTTATTTTGTATACATTTTTTGATAAAAAATTAAAAAATTATTAAATAATCAAACTTCAAACCAACCGTTAGACTTAACTTATAAGCCTTGTCTAATGAGGCCATCTGATCAAATAAGAATGAGTAATGTTAAGGATACTAAATAGTCCATAAAAAATTTGACACAACACTCATAGGTATAGGATTTACTTACAGATGGGACCTACACTCATATGAGTGTTTGGCAAAATTTTTAGTAGAATATGGGGAGTGTCTAGAATTTTTGAATGAGAATATATTCTACAATACTTTAATTAAACAAGAAATTATGCTAGCTTCTTTTGAAATTTAGAGAAAATGCATAAACCTCACAATATTGACATAATTATACTAATATATCTCTTAATGATGTTAAAGAGACCCAAACTAATGCAGATGATATGAAGATGCAAAAATACACAAGATAAAATATATATTTTAATGTAAAAGAAACGATAACATCATTTTTTCATTTATTCAATTAACAAATTTTTGATGAAAAGAAGATCAATGGTTATATGAATTAAAACATTAGGAAAACTCAATATAATTATACTTTGGTTTGGAATGTTCTAAAAAAGTGTACTTTTTGACTTATTGGCTTATATGGGTTGGGTTTAGGTTAGGATTGATGTGATGTGTTAGAGAGTTGATGTGATTTAAATAAGATGATGTGACTTAAATAGGATAGTGACTTTTTGTATTATTTAGTTTATGCCAAACCAAAGATTTATTAGATATTCTTCAAACTCCAAGAGAGTGGTTAGTGTAATTTACCTTTATCAAACATGGCCTAAAATTTTAGGATTGGATTTCTCTCACATTGAAATTTCAACATAAGAGAATTTTTTTTTTTTTTTTTTTTTTTTTTTTTTTTTTTTTTTTTTTTTTTTTAGGGGGAGGGTGGTAGAGCCTTCTACAGATCTCGTTTCGATAATCTGAATTGTTCATTTTGTAGAGCTCTCAATGTATATCATCCATGGAAATATTTAGATCAATTCGAAAATTGTAACATTTTCATTTTATCACATTTGTTTATAAAAAAATAGATAGTCTATTTCAAATATATATTTGTCATTCATTTTTTCAAAGAGAAATGCAATAAAATGAAAAAGTTATGATTATTAGATTGAATTAATTTTTATTTTTATTTTTATAATTGATATATACATTAAGAATCTTATAAAATGAACTATTCAAATAATTAAAATAGGATTCACGATGGGCCTTATATGCCACTCAAGTTCTCTCATCTCTAGATCTTAATACGATGGGAACTCAATCAAAAACTTTACTATAGTGTTTATCATTTGTTATAAACTTTGATTACTATTTTCTCCTTCCCAAACATGTAATTGACCAAAAAGTCATTTCCCAAATAATAATATTTAGCAAAATAATTATATATATATATATGTATAGATATACGTAGATTTGTCAAGAAGTGAGAGAAGATAACGAGAAATTCAACACCACAACGTTCTAGTCAATGTGTATATGCATTAATTACAAAATTATCAAACTCATCCCATTCAATTGACGTTCCCATTACAATTGACAACAAACTTTATATTATCTTTTCATTTCTTCTTCTTCTTCTTGTTATTTTTGATTTTTGATTTTTTTTTGTATTTGTAATTGAAATTCGTTTTCACCATCTCTGTAAAACCCTATCGAAACCCTCTATAATAATATTCGATTTCACACCGATCCCAATTCATCAAATTTGAGACTTCCAAACCCTTATCTCCACTTTAGGCTTTCTGGGTTTCTCTCTTTCTCTCTCAGGTAAAAGCTCGAACACCTGAACTACGATTTCGTATATATATGTGTTATGTATGTCGATATACATGTGTATATAGTATATAGACATCTGTACATGTGTAATATTGAAAAAAAAAAAATTTGATGCTTTTGCTTTAAGTTTCCGACAAGGATTACTATTTTAACGACTTTTGATGTTTGGGTTTTCTGCAAGTGATATATAGAGAAAGAGAGAGAAAACCAACTGTATGGTTTTGTGGGCTGTTGTGGAATTGACATACAGTTGGGTTTTTTTTTTTTTTTCTTTTTTGGGTGGTTTGGTAACTTCTTGTTTGTGGGTTTTTGGATTTGTTTTGGAAATTTTGTTCTTTTTGGGTCAATTCTTGTACGGTTGGACATAGCGTGATTTTGGATGACAAAGGGGTTTGGTTTTGTTGAATTTGAAGGGATTTTGAGATGGGAAATGATGGGTTTTTGAATTGGTTTGTTGAATTTTGAGTGTGTAAGGAGGTTGGTAATGTTGTTGTTGTGGGTGAATTTGGACAGAGTGGTGTTGATGCCTTGAATTTGTAGAGTTGTGAGAATTTGAAGGGATTTGAGATGGGAAATGATGGGTCTTTTGTCTTTTGAATTGATTTGTTAAATTTCAGTGTCTAAGGAGGTTGGTAATGTTGTTGTTGTGAATGAATTTGGATAGAGTGGTGTTGATGCCTTCAATTTGTAGTAACGAGAATTTGACAGTTGCGAGCAGTTATTTGGACATTGGAGAAGTTTGGGAATTGAATTCCGGTCAAATTTCTTAGGAGCTTAGGGGTAGCTTGAGAATTGGATTACTCTGGGAAAAATCTCTGGGAAATTGGTAATAGATAGGAAGCTCAGGAATTTGATTGGACTGGGAAACTTGCTTGGAATTTTGACTTTTAAATTTCAAAGGATTCTCCCAGGAACTTATTCTGTGATTCGAGGCTGAGAAAGCTTTTACTTTATTGGAATTGAAGATTTTGAGCAGGGAATTTAAGGGCTTGCCAACTGATATATCAATCTCGGTGGTCGCTGGTCTGCTAATCTGCTTCGGGGCTCTGAATTTGAAGGGGTGGTTGTGGTTTGGAATAGATGATGGATGAAACTCAATGCAGTTCGAATGTCCTGCCTCCTTTCCTCGTGAAGACATACGAGATGGTTGATGATCATTGCTCGGATTCCGTTGTCTCCTGGAGTCAGAGTAATAAAAGCTTTGTTGTCTGGAATCCACCTGAATTTGCGAGGGATTTGCTACCCAGATTCTTCAAGCACAATAACTTCTCCAGCTTTATCAGACAGCTCAATACATATGTAAGGCAATTGTTATTACCATACTTTTGAAATAATTTTGTGCACATAAATATTTCTTCTGTATTCATTCTTGCTGTCTGTTGTTTCCATTTCTTTCATTGGCTAGGGTTTTAGAAAAATTGATCCAGAACAATGGGAATTTGCTAATGAAGATTTTATAAGAGGACAGCCACACCTTTTGAAGAACATTCACAGACGCAAGCCAGTTCACAGCCATTCCTTACAGAATCAACAAGGTCAAGGCACTTCTTCATCATCATTAACTGAATCAGAAAGACAGCAATACGAGGATAAGATCGAGAGGCTGAAATGCGACAAAGAATCACGTCTTTTGGATTTAGAGAGTCAGAAACAAGAGCAGCAAGGGATTGATTTGCAAAAGTGTGTTTTGACCGAGCATTTCCAACGTGTGGAACAACGCCAGAAAACTATGTTATCCTCCTTAGCTCAGACTTTGCAAAAACCGGGGCTTGCATTGGATTTACTGCCACGATCAGAAATCCATGATCGAAAGAGAAGGTTGCCACCAAACAACTATTTGTGTGATGAAGTGGGTATTGAAGATAATCCTCGGATGGGAACTTCCCAAATCATGACCAGAGAAAATTCGAGTGCTTCTTCTGTTTCTGTATTGAACAAGGAATCACTTGAGCAATTGGAGTCTTCCTTGATGTTTTGGGAAAATATTATACACGATGTTGGTCAAGCTTATGAGCAACAAAATTCATCCGTGGAGTTGGATGAATCCACGAGCTGTGCAGATAGCCCAACAATATCTTACACGCAACTAAATATTGATATTGGGTCCAAAACTTCTGGGCTTGACATGAACTCTGAGCCTGCTGGTCCTCTTGCTCCTGAGGTTGATGACTTAGAAGAACACGTAGCTAGGCCTGTAGCAACTGTGCCAACTGGGGTCAACGATGTGTTCTGGGAACAATTCTTGACTGAAAATCCTGGTTCAAGCGATGCAGCGGAAATTCACTCAGAAAGAAAAGGTCTTGATGGAAGAAACAATGAAAGCAATTATGGGAAGTTTTGGTTGGATGCGAGGAGTGTGAATTACCTTGCAGAACATTTGGGTCAGCTTACTCCAGCAGAGAGAACTTGATGTCAGTAGGTTAATTTTCGATTTCTTTTTTTCTTACTTTAATGCCTCGGTGTAAATTTGTGGATAGTTGGTTTGATAGACAATACAACACTTCATCTTCTTGCCTCATCATCTGTGTATATCATTATAATCAAGTTTTTGATTTGTTACTTGTATATACTCTTCTTGTTGTATTGTTAGCACTAGTCTTCTCTCCTTCATTGTTGAGTGAATGATCGCAGAAAGTTCACGTGAAGTTGCTTTTCTTTTAATAACACCATTTTCTGTTAAATTGTTAACTATAACAAGAAACAATCTTGATTGTTCTGTTTGTTTTTCTTGATACTCTTTTACATGTTTATTGTAAAAATTCATTTGCTTGCCCAAACCTTCTTATTTGATGCTGCACTTTTTGATCCATCAAAACTACAACGCATGCTACTATCAGATCAAATCTTCATGTGGGGGAACCAAAATTATCCAAATTTATTCTGTTCCTGTTGTTCCTTTTCTTGTCCCTCATCGGCGTATTCCAACTTTTTTCTTTATCCATTTGAATTAAAACTACTCAATCCTCTAATCCTTTCTGTGGTAAATTGATTTTATTTTTATCAGTAATTCTCATATTTGCAAGCAAAGCAGTTCCAACTTTTGTCTGCATATTGGGTAATATAGATCTGTTGGAGAAAAATCATAAAAAAAATGAGGGCGGCCACTGTTTTAACAATATTAACTGTCTTCCATGTATTCTTGGTCGGCCCGCAAAAGAAAACCCCCGTTTCTGAAGTAGAATACAGTTTTAATTTTTAATTTAATTTAATTTTTTTTGATGTCAAATTTGAAGAACATCAATGCATGTTCGTTGTGTATGCATGTAGTATTTTGGCAAACCTATATCTCAAATAAACTATAAGAAAATTTGATGAGACTCTTCTATCATAATAATTTGAAGAACATCAATGCATGTTCTTTTTCATTTTCTCTCTCTCTCTCTCTCTCTAAAAAACCTCTCTCTCTCTAAACCTCCAGCCCGGGTCTCGCTGTTGGCCAGCCGGCCGTCGCCTTCGGCGATGACGGTCGGCTGGCCTCGCCCCTTTCGTGCGTGATCGTTGTTTTCCGTCTTAATAAACTTGAATCCCCTTAGTTTTTCCTTTTCTTTTTCAGTTCTCTTGGGTGTTTGGGGTCAGTTTCAGTCTTGGGGGGTTTCGACTTTGGTATTATCAGTAATTCTCATATTTGCAAGCAAAGCAGTTCCAACTTTTGTCTGCATATTGGGTAATATAGATCTGTTGGAGAAAAATCATAAAAAAAATGAGGGCGGCCACTGTTTTAACAATATTAACTGTCTTCCATGTATTCTTGGTCGGCCCGCAAAAGAAAACCCCTGTTTCTGAAGTAGAATACAGTTTTAATTTAATTTAATTTTTTTTTATGTCAAATTTGAAGAACATCAATGCATGTTCGTTGTGTATGCATGTAGTATTTTGGCAAACCTATATCTCAAATAAACTATAAGAAAATTTGATGAGACTCTTCTATCATAATAATTTGAAGAACATCAATGCATGTTCTTTTTCATTTTCTCTCTCTCTCTCTCTAAAAAACCTCTCTCTCTCTCTAAACCTCCAGCCCGGGTCTCGCTGTTGGCTAGCCGGCCGTCGCCTTCGGCGATGACGGTCGGTTGGCCCAGCCCCTTTCGTGCGTGATCGTTGTTTTCCGTCTTAATAAACTTGAATCCCCTTAGTTTTTCCTTTTCTTTTTCAGTTCTCTTGGGTGTTTGGGGTCGGTTTCAGTCTTGGGGGGTTTCGACTTTGGTAGGCGCCTTGTTTATGGGAGGGTTGGTTTTGTTTTGGAACTTCATTCGTGCGTTTCTATGCAAGTGGGAGTTTGAGGGGGTAGATTCCATTCAGATATGTGAAGGTCGACGTTGGGCCGAATAAGGGGTTGATCCAAATCTGTTTTGTACTTTCTGAATATCTCTCGACGCATGTCATCTTCCTGTACCTTTAATTTCATACTGTTAATGAAATTTTTCTTTACTGATCAAAAAAAAAAAATGTTCTTTTTCATTTCTATGAGACTCTTCTATCCTTTCCTTTCTGATTAATGCTAAGTACCAGAAAATTTGTTATGAAGATTACTCAAAATAAGATGCATGGTTAAGATTCAATTAATGTATTGTGAGGTTTATATAGAGATTTAACTTATGTTACACATTGATATTTTGAGTAAGATTCTAAATAAAAATTTTATGTAGTATTTCTCGTGGTTTCTTCTCTTGTTTTTCTCTTCGTTTTATCGGAAATCATTTAAAAAATAATAATATTGCAATGATCTCATCATTTTATTACATTAAGCTTATGATGTAATGTGTCAATATTAAAATGGTAATTAGACAAATGAGTAGTGAAACCCACTCAGCCAATTTAATGATGATAAATTATCATTACTCTGTAATATTTGATATAAAATGTGTAATATATATTAAAAATATATATAATAAAATACATAAGATATACAAGAATTTTCTAAAATTTATAGAGATAAAAAATGATATACTCATGTTCAGTTTATAATATTTGGGCTTGGCATGGTCGCCGGCTTAGTCAGGATTATTAAGGCCTCGTTTGGAGAGTGGCTATTTTAGTCAAAAAGTTAAAAAATTAACTAAAACTTGTCACATCACCTCTCTACTTTTTTGCACATCTTTTCGTAAAAAATTAAAAAATTACTAAAATAGCATGTTCCCAAACCAGGCCTAAGTTTAATTGATTTTCTAACTATTGGGTTTAGTAATTTATTTAATAATATAAATATTTCTCATAATATAATTATTTTCCTATTGATTAAAACACACACCCTCCCTCCTTCATCAAATTTGAGACTTCCAAACCCTTATCTCCACTTTAGGCTTTCTGGGTTTCTCTCTTTCTCTCTCAGGTAAAAGCTCGAACACCTGAACTACGATTTCGTATATATATGTGTTATGTATGTCGATATACATGTGTATATAGTATATAGACATCTGTACATGTGTAATATTGAAAAAAAAAAAATTTTGATGCTTTTGCTTTAAGTTTCCGACAAGGATTACTATTTTAACGACTTTTGATGTTTGGGTTTTCTGCAAGTGATATATAGAGAAAGAGAGAGAAAACCAACTGTATGGTTTTGTGGGCTGTTGTGGAATTGACATACAGTTGGGTTTTTTTTTTTTTTTCTTTTTTTGGGTGGTTTGGTAACTTCTTGTTTGTGGGTTTTT